GAGGAGTGCCCGGGGAGCGGCGCGGGGGGACGGCGACAACAAAACCCGAGACTTTTCCACTCGCTGCAAAGTCTCTTGGAGTTGCTGACACTTCGGAGGAGTCGCGGCTGCGTGACAGAGTTGACGGGAGGTGTAAGGTGACGCCCGAGTCTGAGAGTTTTCATTCTGCCTAGGCGCACGGTGAAGGTTGGGCTTCAATTCTCGGATTCCAGTCACAAATAGTTACACTTCTGTATTAATCTTTGCTTGCATGGGACGTTTCATAACACAGCATTCAAGTACCTGTGGTACTTGTGGTTTTGCAGTTCCCGGTATGCTGATGCATAAAAAGGATGCATAGTATGCGGTTGTATAAGCATGTGGCGTTATTTGGAAGACGTTTGATGCCTGAGCTTCTAACAGCTCTTACCCTCTTCTTATTGTTTTGAGGATTTCTGGCATGCTTATTGAAAGCAATCGTGACCCGGCTCATTCATTATGCGTTTCAGTGTGGGGCGAGGGGGAAGTGTGCGGATTAAAAGTTAAGCTGATATTCTGATTATTACTTCTTTTCCTACACTGTTTGTTTTACTGAATACGTGTTTGGGAGATTTTACTGCAACTGCATGGGAAGTCAAGTGTTGATAGTGTACATTAGCTGTACTTATTTCTGGTATTTAAACTGTTGCAGACCGTATATTGTTTATAGAAATCATGCTTTTAAAAATAATATTCTGCATGGAAAAGGTTACAGAGTATACTGTAGTCTTTCTTCAAATATTTTATTTCAGACAAATGTTTATATTGCCATGTTCTGAATGCTAGTATGCTATCAGTGCTCATATTGTTGAAATGTTTATCAAGTATTTTTTCGAGCTAAGTATTTAAAAATAGGAATATAAAATCATTCAGCTGGTCACTCTTATCACTTAGACTATTTATAAAAAAAAAAAAAAAAAGGCAAAACTTAGTGAAGGGTAAAAACAACTTAACTCTTTCCAGCCCATGACTGTAAATCAGTTATTTACTGGGCGAAGCTGGCATTTGAGTTGTGAAGCCTCAGAATAGCTTATGCTGGAAAGGTAGGAAGAATCCAAACTGGATCATGGAGCATGCTTAGTACACTTAAACTGCTGAGGTAGAGCAGCTGACGGTGAAGATGTTCTAAGTGATGCTGCATCTTCCCGTGCACGTGTCATGGACCGTCACTCTTTCTTGAAGAAACCTCAAAGTCTTTGGGAACTGCCACTGTGGCACATTGTGTGGAAGTGCAAGCGCTCCCTGGAAAAAGGGGAACTGTCAGCGAACCAGAGCAAGAGAGGTCAAGAGACTGGGAAGTGAGTGGGATAGCATGTGTTAAGCGATTATGTTAACAGAAAAATGTTTTTGTGCCTGACTACTGGTGAGTAGTAGTGAGAGAATGACTCTGGATCCAAGCAGAGTTAGTCATGTTGGAAGTCCAAAGTTGCGAGTTTGTTGCTTTTGCTGGAACTGTTTGAGTGAGTAAGTACTGTGCATGTTTGTTCCTGCGATGAGAGGATGTTGAGGTGGATGCCTGAAAGTCACCGTGAAAGGATAAAATAAGTAAACTGTAAGTAATTGTTTCAAGGCAAATCTGATTATATTGTCAGTAAAAAGTCATCTGCTTGAACTTTCTTAACTTCAATGAAAAATGCGTGACCACTTGAGTTTGTGTTCATAGATATTACGTTATCCTTCTGATGCTGAAGTACAGGTCATACAGCCTTTTGAGTCAACTTTTTACACACTATATTTATTCCTATTTTAAGAACTTCAGCTTTAGAAACATTTTTAAAAGAGTGGATGAAGTTGAGGGTCCTCCAACATAGTAGGAAAAGCTGGGCAGAAAATAAGGGTGTTGTGTTTTTATGCAGGTAGGTATTGCGCGTCAGTCTTGTCCCAGAGATTTGCAGCAACTTGGAAGCGTTACAGATATAAATAGTAGTAGTTCTTCATACACAGCTCTTGCAAGGGCATGTTCTGCAGCAAGTGGGCACTGATAAGCTTGTGCAACACTGCCTCCCCCCTTTTTTTTTCAGCCTAAGGGTAAAGTTCATTATTTAACAAGCTTACAGGGCCCAGATTAATACTTTTTATCTGAACTGTCTGCTCAGTGGGATGGGAATGAATCCTGCCCATCAATCGCCTCTTTCAGATTTCCTGCAGCGCAGGGGGATTGCCCCGATTTCCCCAGCAGGGCAGGAGCCAGGCGGCCCCCGGCTCCCTCTCTCCATCTGGGTGGCCTGTTGGGGAAGATAACCTGGTATTTCAAGTTCTCTCTCTGCTTAAGGTGGGACCGGGGGGGTCAGCCCTCCTGCCCCCAGAGTTCTTGCAGTTTGGCAGGGACCCGCCGCCCGGCAGGGATGCTCGGAGCAGCTGCAGCAAGGAGAGGGTGAGCAGTTGTGCAACACTGGTGACTTGAAACTTTAGCTCCTTGCACTGTCTGTGAATATTTTAATAACTCTTGTAATGCGTTTAGTCTCTGGCTCTTGTTCTTTAGGTAGTTTTGAATTGGGAATGTGCGGTATTAACTCACTGGGGAGGGCAAAGCATTTAAAAGAAATGAATTCTTTATTGTTTGTTTGCTGAAAGTTTCAAAATGAACTGGAGGGACTACACAGGCAGTTATTGAAATGAAGGTGTGACAGTAGCATGTACCTAGATTGCATTACTGGTAATAGAGTCACAGTAGCAGGAGTAGGTTCTTAAATATATGAAATGCATATATATATATAAAATACAGTAACTGGAAAGAAGCCATACAGCTGGGAGGGTTTGCTGTAGCTGCACCTTTGTTTTGTCGCATAGTCAAACCCTTAGGATTACGTGACTATACAAAAGCAATATTGGCCGATTGTCCCACGTGGCTCTAAGAGGTTTAAAATTATATGCAAGGATTCTTAGTTTTGGATTAGAATGGGAATAATGTGAACATGTATTTGCCTGTTCTGAAGGGCATCCCTGGAAGTGGCATTGGGACCTCTTTAGACAGACAGCAATGATGTACAGAACAGTCTTTGTGCCGTGATTCTGTGATTTGCTTTTTGCAATGAAAATAGGTGCGCTTACCTGAGCTCCACTTATCTGGGATACTATCTCAACTGAGAGATACCTTTTTATTATTTATTATTATTATTATTTTAAAATTACTTTACATCTGACCTAATCATAAAATGCTTCTAGATGATGGCTAATACATACCGTTAGTGTGGGAGTGGGAGGAAAAGCAGTGTGTCACTTTGTGGGTTTTTCTCCTGTTACTGTATCTTGATGGTGTAATCTCAAACCCATCGGTTTTATGGCCACCTCTAAGTTTATGAAGTGTGCCTTACTCGGCGTTGTGATGTTACATGCACTGGTGAGAGATGAGGCTAGGTTTTCCACTCTGAAAACAAGCATAAACCTCACTCCCAGTACTCCAGCAGTGCTAAATTGAGTGGGTAGGGAGAAGGGGTTTTTTTTCTGCTGTTGCTGTTTTGTCCGCTGCAACTTTCCCTTTCGTGTGTGTGTGTGTGTAGCAACTTTTCAGATGCAAACATGCACAAAGATGCTTTTTTTAGAAGCATGATTTGTATCAGATACAATGGGATGAACATAAGCGATATAATAGGACCTATTATGAAGGCGAAGCTTCTGCCAACATCATTATTAAACCTTGGCCTAGCCTTTTGTGCAAGGAGAGTACAATGCTAAGCTCTAAGAGCTCGTGGCACTTGCTAGTTCTTGGTGTAGGTACATTCATCCCTGGGTATCTTGTGCAAGCGCACTTGTGTGTCTCTGAGGGATTTCATGGGGTTGCTGCTGACAAGTAAGGTTCTAAGAAAGCTTTGGGGATCGCTTTAACTAATTGCAGTGTTTGGAGGCTTACAAAAACATCCCCTCAAAAATAGTATTTTTACACTCACTTAGGTTCGGTGTGTGTTTAAACTCTTGTATGTTCTTCAAGGGTGTGTGTCTGCTTATTTTAGTAAAAATAAAGCAGGACTTGCTCTTCAGGCTGTTGTAGCTGAGGGTGATGGCAATGATCCTCTCCCATTGATAGCTACCATCCAGGATAGGAAGTCTTTCTCGAACCTTGTGTTCAGCTGCTGCTTTTTCGAACGTGGTCAGTGATTCATTAAAACAAAATGCTTGGAACAAAGGGAATCCAGCTGAAGTCAGACTGGTATCCTATCAAGTTTAATATCTTGTTTAATGTAAAAATGTGCTACAGCTCTTTGTAAATGAATTAGAAGAAATTCCAAGCGAGGTTGTTATTCGAAAGATGTAAGCTCTTTCAAGGTCTAAGTTGCTTCTTAAGAGTTTTATGTTTGGCAAGGTGTTGAATTTTGTCTGGTGAGTAGAATCATAGAATATTTTGCGTTGGAAGGGACCCCTAGAGGTCATCTAGTCCAACCCCCCTGCAGGAGCAGGGACACCGCTAACTAGATCAGGTTGCTCAGAGCCCCGTCCAACCTGGCCTTGAATGCTTCCAGGGATGGGGCCTCCACTACCTCTCTGGGCAACCTGTTCCAGTGTTTCACCACCCTCATTGTAAAGAATTTCTTCCTTATATCTAGTCTAAACCTACCCTGGTTTAGTTTAAAACCATTACCCCTTGTCCTGTCACAGCTGGCCCTACTAAAAATATTTTCC